TCGCCTCAGCCCCAGGAAACGTAGCAGAAACCGGTAATTAAAATCTCTGAGTAAAGGCGTCGTTCCATACATCTCTGCTGTACCAAAAAAGCACGAGACTTGTGTTTTTCAGGGATTTTTCAGGGATTCAAACTGACTCGGAGGTTTACAGAGTCTCCATAAACCCCTAATCTATTTCCTAACAAATCTTGATGACGCAAGAATTCATTAGAAAAGTCACGTTTCTCTCAGCATCGGTGAACAGCAGTGCTGGCATACTGCCCACGTCTGCGGAACATCTCTGGAAAACTAACTGAAGTTCTTTGCAACTCGCCAAGGCCTGAGAGAGCAGCAACTTACTTGCAGAGTGATTCAAGACATAAAAATACTTCTATGGGAAAAAAAAAATAAAAATCCATGAGTGACCTTTGCAGGAACAGCTGGGACTAACTAAAATACAATTTAATTATTCGGAGCTTTTACACTATTTCTTACAGTTCAGCAGACACTGAGCACAGAGGACACCTAGAAGAGCCAGACATGTTCCTAGGTGTATTTATTAGACCACGAATGCCACTGTACAAGTGGTAATCAGCAAACAAATGCCATTATATGATCATTTTTTTCAGTGAAAGTTTAGACCAGTTCATTATAAACAAAGGCTGTTTACTCCCTCCATTCTTTTGGAGTGATTCTGCCAACAGGTGACAAGCCCCACTCAATTCCAGCTTGTGTAAACACCTGTAGGAGGATAAAAATCAAGATTATTAACTCTGAAATCAAAGAAACCTTCTGATAGAGGGCTATTTCTATTGTTTTCAGTTTAGATTTGCTGTATTAGGACATGACATCTCATTCATCTTCTAATAAAGCAAGTGGAATATATTCATATGGAATAGTATTTAAATACTTCAGTTTTCTATTTCAAAATACCTAAAACAAAGAATCTGGAATGTAAGATCGATCACCATACTGTTGTTTTCATCTATAAATTTTTCTGCTAAAAGCTATACCTCGATAGCTTAGAAATCCCAAGTAAAATAGAGAACATTTGCATTTCTACATTTTAAAATCAAGCAATAGACCAACACAGAAATTTGTGTAACAACTCAAAATCAAAAAAACAAACACAACTATCACATTACTATTCACTTATATAAAAAGCTCCTAAATTCTGACCACGTAAGTAATTTCAAACAAATAAGCCTTTGTGAAGCTTAATAGCTTGCAAGTTTACAGCTATAGTCACAACAGAGTGGTGGAAAAAAAGGACAACTTACATATCCCCAGACAGCAGTAAAAACTGCGGCTCCACCAAGGAGTACCAGGTTTCCATATTTGTCATGGAAGTCAGGCTCATATTTGCGATGAGCTCGTCTGACTGCAGTATGCTGAATGCCACGAGCTAATGAATGGTAAAGAGAATTAGAAGTACGGAAATCAACTAAAATATACACTCAAACCATTCACAGTCCTCATATCTCTCACCAACAGAAGCAACTGGAAGCATTAAGAGACTTTAAGAAACCCAATAATCTTTTGGACTTAGAGGTTTGGAATGATTCCAAACACAGGATATACAGAAAGCCTTGCATTTTGTTTCAGTTCTCCCAATTTCTCTCTGGAATTCCTGAAGTCTAATCCCAGTAAGAAAAATCCTCTAAGTTGCCTTTGTCATTAATATGCTTTCTTTGGGCCCTCAGTGTGGTAATTCAAGTACACTTTTAAGCATTACTATTTCTCTAATAAAATATGTTATTACTTAAAAATTTCAGATTTCTGTCTATAAATATCTATACTGTCAGTATGTTTACCTAATATAAGCATTTTCAGGATGAAGCTCACCATCAGATTAAGGGGTTGAAGATTGTGGGTATGGGTAACACCTTTCTCATTCCTTCAAGATTTTTGAAAGAGGGAGGTAAAGAAGGAAATAATTGTGGGCCTTCGCATGAGGTAAATAATAGAGAACAAAATACAGGAGGATATCTTTAGATGACAGAATGTATGATGTACATATTAAGTGTACACTATAAAAGGTACACTTATTAAGGAGAAGTGGAAGTGAAGAATCAAACCAGCTTCAAAATGCAGAGATTGTTTAGTTGTTGCGTACAAAGCATTTGATGAGTCAGTGATCCAAGCATAAAGACAGACATTACAAAATATAGTCTTTTACTTTCAGGTCAATGGTTCACATTTACCCAAACATGACTAAGAGAAGATCATGGCAATATACATAATGCTACTACATCCCTAGCATGCTCTGTAAGGCTGCACAAGTTGGGGTTTTTTAAACAGACAAAAGAAGCTTGAATATCTACCGAGATAAACACTGCTAAGCACGTTTATTTTAGGTGCGTGCACCTCAGGCTAAGCACGTTATGAACCAGGAGCAGGTTTGAGAGGCCCTGGTTAAACATTGGGGAGTCTGTTACTGAAGAGGTAACTACCCTTGAGTTTAAGGGCTGGTGATCGACACCACCTTGTCACCTCCAGTTACAAAACCTGGGTGTGCCTTTAGTTATTATCAAGGAGGAAGGGAACCCAAGGTCAGCTCAAGTTAAAGCAACTAGGAGGTGAAAGAGGCAGAAAGAAAGAAAGAAAGGGGGAAAGAAAAAAAAAAAAGAGACGAAGGGCGTCGAGACAGCAGCCCGCAGCCCCTCAGGTGCCCTCACGACCCTCCCCTGGAAACGAAGCGAGCTGAGGGGTGCCCAGGGCCAGTCCTCACAAGGAGGGCGAGACACCGGGGGGAGAGCCCCTCAGGAAACCGCCTACTCGCGAGAGACACCCCCACCACTTCTATACTCCCGAGAGCCTCCTCCTTGCTTACCGGTGAGGTTCAGAGCAGCCCTAGCCACAGGAAACATGCTGACAAGCGGAGCAGGACCCCACCGCCGGCGGACCGCTGGTACCCTTGGCGAGCGGTGAAAAACAAAATGGTCGCGCCGGAAGTGGCCGACGCGCCGCACTACTGAGCGGAGCCCTGTGGGTAATGTAGCCGCGCCGAGGCGGAGAAAAGGAACCTGCCGGCTGCGGCTGAGGGAGAGCAGGGAAAGCTCCGCGGCCGGGGGAGCAAGACAGGGGCGGGCTC